TATGAAACAAAAGTCACCTAAAAAAATAAAAAGTAAACCACCCAATAAGTGGTTCTTTTTTCGTGCTTATTACACGCAAATACTGAAAGAACAAGGCCTTAATTTATCTATGACTCATATCTCGGGAACTATTAGTAAAGTGTGGAAAAGACAACCACAGAATGTTAGAGAACATTATGAGGAAATCGCGAAAAAAGCTAAAAAAATGTTCATTGAAAATCTTAAGGCTAATAATGATAATGATAATGAAAAAAATAAAAATAATACCATCAACAATTCTACTGACTTAACAAAAGATTCTCTTTCGTCAACAAAAATCGAAAAAACTGAAGAAAAAATTTCAAATATACGTACCCTAACGGAAAAACCTTCGCGTCAGAAGGTCTCAAAACGACATGAGTCTCACCCTTACAAAGGAGCTTCAACACCATCACACGGAAAGAATTCGTTGAAAAATGAGAAGAAAGTGAATACTCCTATATTCGATGTTTTGGATAATCTATTGGTTTTTTCTGATCCAAATAACTTATATCATCCCAATTATTCGATATCACCTTATATTATTGTGAACAACTTCAATAAAAATAACGATTCCAATAACAACAACAATCATTATCAGTTTAATCAAACTTCCAACGATAATAGTTTCATTCCATTTAATTTGTCTACTACTTCGTCAACTATTTTACCAATACCAACACCATCATTATCACCATCATCATTACCAGATGATGACTCGCTATATTTCGATCTAAACTTGCCACAATTCGATAATTTAAATAACCAAGATGTAGATATATCGGTTCAGAATTCAAACTTGCCACAATTCGATAATTTAAATAACCAAGATGTAGATATATCGGTCCAGAATTCAAGCGCGCAACAATTCGAAAACATAGACGATTTGCTTGGATATTCTATTTTGCAAGATAATCTAAGCGCAAACATTCCGAACGAAATAAATCGATATTTTTAATAGACTTATAATTCACGTTATATAATAATTATAATCATCCAACAGCATCATCATCATGTTCTGTTTCTGTAAAATATTTATATAGATCGTATATTGTACATAACTTATTTAAAGTAAATATAAAATTCGCTGTCTGTCAATGGTCAAATCATGTCATGTGCAAGACACATATTATCTGTGAAAATTTATTATCGTTCGATACAAGCACTTGCCCATAAAATTCTGCAAGAAAATGCCCCCTATAAACTTGACGTCATGATAACTATTAATGCTCATGCGGATGTAACAGGCGCCTATATTTTCTTGCATCTGCGCTTAACATTCGTTTCCTTCGCGAAAGAATAAACTGATAAAATACGGAAATCACACGCCGACTGAATACCCCATCCTGAATTTTCCAAAATAAATATGAAAATATTTAGTAAACCTCTCACTTTATATTAAGCACCACTTAATTTTTTAGTGTTTTCTAAAATTAGCAACATTAACGTTAAAATTTATTGAATATATATTTGATTAAAATTATAATGATTTTAATCTTTATGATTATTTGATTTAAAAAATCCGTTTTTTAAATTAGCATATTTATGCTAAAAATTATCATTTTACGTTAAGTAATGTTTTTAAGCAACACCACCAAAGATGGGTAACTTTCACTTTTCCAAGCTAAATTAGAATCGACAGAAGCATAAACATGTACATGTACTGCATGCGCTCATGAAGTTCCCTGCAGATCTTGGACCCAATTAATTTGTAATCGTTTAAAGTTTTCCTCATAAGCTTTAGTTAACCTGAGAAAATGACATGGCGACGCACATATTAAAAATTTTTCATGTTAAAAATTTTTGAAAAAGACAGAAAAGATTCGTCGGAAAAATTATTAATATCACCGCATTAGACGCGTCGCCGAATGAATTTCTCGCATCAATATCAATTGTTTTTGAGATGGTGATGACAACACGACTATACTCTAAAGGCTAGATGTGGTAATGAAATAGGCACGTATTTCTTTTGTTCGCGAAAAGTCCTATTTCTTAGTGTTTGAATCTTTTGCATTTTTTGGCTTTTGACTATAGTTAAGATATGAGCTTTTGTGATTTTCACAAACAATATTCTGAAGAAATTCTTGACCTCGATTAGTAGCTTCTTCATTTTAAATTGCTGTGTCTTTGACTTTTTTTTTGGTGCGTTGATTACATAAATGCAAGCGCTTCATAACCAGGTTTTTTCCGGCCGGTTTAGTTAATTATACAATAGAAAGAGTTAATTCATAATGGGTATTACTTAAAATGAGCAGCGCCTAATAGCTTAAATAGGACTAACGACGACGAAATTAGACATTCAAACAATAAAATTGAGAATCATTCTATCAAAATTCTCACATTCTCCTTTAGGTGATCTGTAGCAAATGTTATTTGAACACAAGTCTTAGAAACGTTTCATTCAAGCGCATCAATGCAATGTCCTTTATTCATGTTTGATACAAGCATAACTACATGCGCATGTATAACGATATCGATATGTAACAGTAATGATAATCGAGTTTTCACATATACAGTGTGGGACAATTGCTTTTAGAAAATGTTAACGTTACATAAATGCCTGCCGTTTGACCAATTTTAGTCCAA